TCTATATATATGTATATATACATATATATATATATGTATATACATACATATATATATATGTGTGTATATGTATATATATATATATAGTAAAATGGAGGGAAGAGGCCAGATCAAGGTATCTTGGGACATGATCAGTGAGTTCCCTTCATGTTTCCCAGACTTGGAGCTGAAGAAGCTGGAAAACAGAAAATGCTCATGGGTGCATTAAACAAACAAACAAAAGACCTACTTTCTCTAGCTACAGGACAAGGAAAGGGGTAGGCCAGCAAGACAGAAAACTTTTAGACCAATACCACAGAAAAAAAAACACCTGCCCTACCCCATGCATGCCAGCAAAAGCCAAGTGAGAGAGCCAGATTCCCACCCTCACAAGGCCAAGTAGGGAGCCAGGACTTTAATCCCCAAAGGCCCTTAATGAGTTTCACCACTCTGTGGTTTCAGTGGACAGTACATGTGGAGTCTAGAATTCCACCCCACCAGGCAATAACGAGGCAGTCCTCCCTCTCACCTGGGGTGGTGTCAGGGGAGATAGTGGATAATTAGGAATTTGCATATTAGCCTTTTATTATATAGGATAAGAAAAACCAGTCACAAAAGACCACATATTCTGTGATTCCACTTACATGAAAGAAAGGTATAGATGAGGCAAATCTATATAGGCATGTAGTAATTCACTTTTATTTAACACATACTATTTCTTTAATGGCCATTTCCTTTAATGTCCACAGATAGTGCAGGTTATGGAATGTCAGCTGCAGAGCCATTTTTCTTTCAAGTTCCTCTTTCTTCCTTTAGTTTGTCAGCATGTATCATAAAGTAGAAGAAAAGTGAACTGTTGACTCAGAAGGCAGTCATGGCTTCCATTTCCTAGTCATGATTTTCAACCTGACTTATAGATTTCTAGTGTAGCTGTTTATCATTCAGTGGGCTTCATGGTATGTTAACTTTGATAGATAATGTTTACACTTTTTTTTTACATTTTATACCATGTTTCTTTATAAAAAATTTTTGTTTGTTTGTTATAGAAAAGCCATGGCTGAAAAATACATCATGACAGCTGCAAAACTCATTGCTCCTGTAATTGAAACATCTTTTGCTGTAGGATATGATTGGTAAGAGGGAAATTCAGTATAAGTAGATGTGTATGGTATTTTCTTTCCTTAATTTATACTTTTATTGGTTTAAATTTTTATCTGATATGATTTGCAAACATTTTCTCTTATTTTGGTTGTCTTGTCATTTTGTAGATTGTTTCTTTGCTTTGCAGAAACTTTAGTTTGATGTAGTGTCACTTGTTTAGTTTTTCTTTTGCTCCTTATGCTTTAGGTGTCATATCCAGGCATTGCCAAGACTGATGCCAAGGAGCTTTTCCCCATGTGTTTGGTTTTTTTCTAGGAACTTTATGGTTCTCATTTCTGATTTTATTTGAGTCTTTTCTCTTCCCCCCCCCCCCCCAGATAATCTAGCTAAAGATTTGTCAGTTTTGTCTGTCTTTACAAAAAACTAGCTCTTATTTTCGTTGCCCTTTTCTATTGTTTTTCTAGTTTCTGTTTCATTTATTTCTTCTCTAGTCTTTGTGTTTTTCTCTTTATTTCCTTTGGGCTTAGTTTGTTTTTACATTTTTAGTTCCTTGAGGTGTATAATTTTAATGATTTTTTTTCTTAATGTAGGTATTTATTGCTATAAACTTCTCTTTTAGAACTGCTTTTGCTGCATCCCATAAGTGTTGGTATGTTTTGTTTTCATTTTATTTGTTTTAAGATATTTTTTAAATTTTTCTTTTGATTTCCTCTTTCACCCATATGTTACTCAGGGATGTGATTTTTAATTTCTACATATTTGTGAATTTTTCAGTTTTCCTCTTGTTACTGATTTATAATTCCATACCATTTGCTAAGGTTTGTTTTGTAACAACACATGATCTATCCTGGAGAAAGTTGTGTGTGTGCTTGAGAAGAATGTGTATTCTACTGCTGTTGGATGGAATGTTCTGTATATCTCTGCTAGGTCAGTCTGAGCTAAGGTATAATTCAATTCCAATATTTCCTTTTTCATTTTCTGTTTGGATAATTGAACTATTATTGAAAGTAGGGTCTTGAAATTTCCTGCTATTATTCTATTGTTATTTCTTCCTTCAGATCTGTTATTATTTGCTTAATATATTTTAGTGCTGTGATAGTAAATACATTTATAGTTATGATTGTTATATCTTCTTGATAACTAGACCTTTTTGTTGTTACATAGTGACTTTTTTATATTTTGTTACAGATTTTGACTTAAAGTCTCTTTTGTCTAAATATAGCTACTTTTTTGCTTTCCCTTATATATGGAATACTAGAAGGCCCGGTGCATGAAATTCATGCACGGGGTGAGGGGGTCCCTCAGCCTGGCCTGCACCCTCTCCAATCTGGGACCCCTCGGGGGATGTCCAACTGCCTCTCACAATCTGGGACCACTGGCTCCTAACCGCTCACCTGCCTGCCTGCCTGCCTGATCGCTCCTAACCCTTCTGCCTGCCTGCCTGATCGCCCCTAACTGCTTCCCTACGGGCTTGATCGCCCGTAACTGCTCCCCTGCTGGCCTGATAGCCCCTAACCGCCTCTGCCTCACCCCGCACCTGGCGCCCAAGATTCCCTCCTCCAGCCAGTTGCTGGCACCCGGGACTTGGGCTTCCCTCCCTCTGGCTGGCCGCAGGCACCCAGGACTCAGACCAGCTTCGCTTGGGCCGGCCACAACCACAGGGGACCGTGGACGGGTGGCTTCGCCCAGGCTGCAGCTGCAGCCGCTGGCGCCCAGGACCACGGGGCAGGTGGCTTGTCCCTCTCCCGGGCCGCAGCCGCAGGTGCTGGCACCCGGGACCACGGGGCGAGTGGCTTGTTCCTCTCCCGGGCTGCAGGCACAGGTGCAGCCACTGGCATCCGGGACCGTGAGGCAGGCAGCTTGTCCCTCTCCTGGGCGCAGCCTGGCTAGTCCCCATTCATCTCTCGCAAGCTCATTTGTGCCTGGCTGGTCCCCGTTCCTCTCTCCCGGTGTTGAGTGTCTGAGCCGTTATGGCAGTGGTTCTCAACCTTCATAATGCCGCTACCCTTTAATACGCCAGGTACTCATAAGTGGGTGTATTTGCATGTGGGCAGACCCTCCTGGAGATGGATAGAGGAGCGGTGTCTCGGTTCCTAAGACCATCGAAAATATGTGTTTTCCGATGGTCTTAGGCGACCCCTGTGAAAGGGTCGTTCGACCCCCAAAGGGGTCGCGACCCACAGGTTGAGAACCGCTGTGTTACTGCATGACGTCGTGAGGGCATGATGACCATTTGCATATTAGCTCTTTATTATATATGGAATATATTTTTTTCCATCCCTTGAATTTGAGCCTGTGTGTCCTTACAGCTGAAGTGAGTCTTTTGTAGGCATAATATAGTTAGGACTTGTTTTTAATCTATTCAGACACTCTATGCTTTTTTATTGGAGAATTTAATCCATTTACACTTAAAGTAATTTTTTATAGCTAAGAATATTTATAGGTTAATTAGTAATTACTGATAGGCACTAATGCCATCTTATTGCATTCTAGTTCTTTTGTAGTTGCTTTGTTTCTTCTTCCTCCTTTTTCTTTTGCTGTCTTTGTGAATTGATGATTTTCTGTAGTGGTATGGTTTTATTCCCTTCTCTCTATATTTTGTGTATCTACTGTAGGTTTTTGCTTACATAAATATCTTATAGATATAACAGTCTATTCTAAGCTAATAACAACTTGAATTGCATATAAAAGCTATCCATTTAAACTCCCCATAATTTTGATCTTGATGTCATAATTTGTGTATCCATTAACAAATTCTTGTAGCTATACTTATTTGTAATACTCTTTTCTTTCAACCTTTATACTAGAGTTAAGTGATTGACATACCACCATAATAAAATATTAAAGTATTCTGAATTTGACTATATAGTTACCTTTTCCAGTATATTTTATATTTTTATACATTTTTATGTTACTAGTTAGTGTCCTTTCATTTCATCTTAAAGAATTCCTTTCAGCATCTACACTAATAAAAGAGAAACATGGTAATTAGCGTACGACCCCTACCCTTCTCATTGGCTAATCAGCATATCCTTATGCAAATTAACTGTCAGCCAAGATGGCAGCCGGCAGCCATGCACTGAAGCGAACAGGGAGGCTTGCTTGCTCCAGTGACTGCGGACTCCAACGTTCCC